ACCTCTTAACATACCTTGATCAATATCTTTGTCGATAAGCTTCAAGAGGTTTCATGTTAAAACTTGTTGTAAATCCCCCCATTAATTTTATTAGGAAATCTGCTCTTTCGATTTTACTTTATATGAAATTACACATTTAAACATTTATTTGTTTTTATCAGATATTGAAAAAAACAATTGTTCTTTAGTCACCAGTGTACAATGAGTCACTTGTCTACCCAACCATGTACCGGCAAAATGACCATCAATTTTTTTGTACATTAAAATACAAAAAAAAATACATTATTTTTGTTTTTGTTGCTGCAGCTGACAGATAAAATGTTGACATTTACCAATCATATTTTGGCGAAATTGTGTGTGTGTGGTTGTTGTTTTCGATTTTGTGTGATCCATGCGTTAAAAATAAATAATGTAAACAAATCAAAAAAAAAAAAACGCGCACACACACATATAAAAATTTATTTAAAAAAAAAATATTTAAAAAAAAATCATACATATATATATGTGTGTATATATTATATGTATGTATGTGTGTGGAAGTACCTTTATAATACATTCTTTTTTTTTTGGTCATTTGTCGGATGTGTTGTTGTATTTTTTGTTATAATATTTTTGGTTGTTGTGATTTGAATTTTCGTCACATGGTCGCCGCCGCCACCACCATCAGCATTATTTTGTTAATTGAAGTCACAGAAATTTGTCTTTTTTGGCAAAATTTCAAATTTGATTTTTTTAAAAGTGAAAAAAAATATTTTGCAAAATTATGTTTTAAAAATAAAAATCAACAACAAATTGAGCAATAACATTTATTTAGTTTGCCAAAATAACAACATTAGTACATAGCAGTGTCGTCTGTAAACACAAAAAATAATATCATCACCTATTTTATTTTAAAAACAAATAATAGGGCGTAATAACGAAAAACCAATTGAAAGGAATAAATATTTTTCTGCGGACCAATAGAGCGTAGATTAAAAAATATATTAAAAAAAGTAAAGTATAAATTTAGAAAAAAAAATCAAAGGCCAATTAGGATTTTTTAAAGGATATTTTTTCAAAGTCTACATGAGACGTGGATTTATTAAAGAATACCTTTCGAAGGACTACAGGAGGCGTGGATTATAAAAGAATATTTTTTTTCATGGGCTACATGAGGCATGGGTTATTAAAGAATATTTTTTTCTAAGACGTAGATTTTTTTAAGAATATTTTTCAGTATCTTCAGAATGTGTCAATTTATTACAGAATAATTTTCCATCACCCTCAGAAGGCATAGATTTTTTATGAATATTTTTTCAGAAGGCGTAGATTTCTTAAAGAAAATTATAAAGACTATTTTTAAGGACCCAATGAGGCGTAGATTTCTTAAAGAATATTTTTAAGGACCCAATAAGGCGAAGATTTTTTAAAGAATAATTTTTATGACACTCAATAAGGCGTAGATTTTTTAAAGAATATTTTTTCAGTACCTTCAGAAGGCGTAGATTTTTTAAAGACTATTTTTTCAGTACCTTCAGAAGGCGTAGATTTTTGCAAAGAATATTTTTTCAGTACCTTCAGAAGGCGTAGATTTGTATACCCTTCACCACACTGTGGTACAGGATATTATGTTTTTGTGCATATGTTTGTAACAGGCAAAAGGAAACGAGATAGACTCATGGTTTCTTTTGAGAATATGCATAGAATCACTTTCTAAGTCGATTTATGCATGTCCGTCCGTCCGTCCACATATATTTGTGAACAGAGTACAGGTCGCATTTATGATCCGATTTTGATGAAATTTGGCATAGGTCACATATTTGGCCCAAGGACGAACCCTATTGAAATTGGAAAAAATCGGTTCAGATTTAGATATAGCTCCCATATATATTTTCGTCCGATTTATTGTAAATGGTGCACCAAAGTCCCTATATATCTTTCGATTTGCACGAAATTTTGCACAGCGTACATAATTAAGTCTAGAGTGATGTATGCTAAGTTTCCTGAAAATCGGTTCAGATTTAGATATAGCTCCCATATATAGTTTCGTCCGATTTTCTGTAAATGGTGTACCAAAGTCCTTATTTATCTTTCGATTTGCACGAAATTTGGCACAGCGTATCAAATTAAGTCTAGAGTGATGTGTGTTAAGTTTCGTGAAAATCGGTTCAGATTTAGATATAGCTCCCATATATAGTTTCCTTCGATTTTCTGTAAATGGTGTACTAAAGTCCTTAAATATCTTTCAATTTGCGCGCAATTTGCTATAGAGTACTGAATTGAGCCTAGAATGCTGTGTGTTTACTTTCGTGAAAATCGGTTCAGATTTAGATATAGCACCCATATATATTTTCCTTCGATTTCATATAAAGTGTGCGCTAAAGACGCAAAATTTGTACGATTGACATATAATTTTGTTGAAATCGATTCAGATTTAGGGTTTGGTGGTTGACACGAATCGTATCAATGGTCCTGTTGAATACACCTAAAGTGGTGAAGGGTATCATAAAGTCGGCACTGTCCGACTTTACTTCATTCCTCACTGGTTTTAAGAATTTTTTTCTAAGGACAAAATAAGGCGTAGATTTTTTAAAGAATATTTTTTCCAAAGGCCAATAAGGCGTAGATTTTTTTAAGAATATTTTTTCCAAAGGCCAAAAAGGCGTAGATTTTCTAAAGAATATTTTTTCCAAAGGCCAATAAGGCGTAGATTTTTTTAAGAATATTTTTTCCAAAGGCCAAGCAGGCGAAGATTTTTTAAAGAATATTTTTTCCAAAGGCCAACCAGGCGAAGCTTTTTTAAAGAATATTTTTTCCAAAGGCCAACAAGGCGTAGATTTTTTAAATAATATTTTTTCCAAAAGCTTTTCTAAGGACCTAATAGATTTTATAAAGAGCCCAATAAGGCTTAAATTTTTTACGAAATATTTCTCTTAAAAATGTCAACCCACCCTAATAAAACTTTGTACACCATTGTCTACTATGTATAATATATGTACATATATATGATTTGCTACAATATGTTTTCATTTAACAGATCATTGACGTTATTTGGGGAGTCATGCATATACATATATCTTTTATTTTTATTGAATTTGCACAATACAATAAAAAGCCATCATACAGAGGGTAACAAAAAGAAGTACACAGCAATAAGTCCTAAACAAAAATTACTGACCTTCTTTAATGAATAATTTGTTTATGGACTATTTTTCATAGTCACTCGTAATGAGAATGGCTACATACCTTTTTATGGCACCAACTGTAATATGATATGCAAATAAATCAGTCCCCAGAAAGATAGATTTTTTTTTGTGCGTGTAGGAGTCAATGAGACATCAAATATTGCCATCAAAAATACATGCTAATTTCTTTTTTTATTTAATTTGCGTTAATAATAAAGCAGGGAAAAAATTCCACCCCAGGTTAAGGTGACAAAAAAAAGATTTTGGATTGGAACATTAAAGGCGATTTTCAAAAGGGGTTTAATTGTGAGGCTTAGGAATAGAAAAAAATTGATATCACCGTATTAATTGTCGGAGGTATTACTAAAAAATATAAAAATATGGAATCAATATTTTAAGTTTTTTTTTGATTTTTGTAATTTATGTTTTAACTATTTTTGGCTTTTATTTAACCTATATTTTAATTAGTAAATTCTATAAAAGGATTAAACTCTTTCATTTTCAAGAAATTATTACATTTATGTTTATTTTTCACTGCCAGGACAAACTATTTTTAGATTTTTACTATTTTTTTATTTTATTTTTGTAATAAATTCTTTTGTCCATCCACCTTCATCCCCATTTTCGCTCTAAAAATTCCTCATTAAAAAGTATTTCTATTTAACATTTAGCCAACATCGAAGTGTGGGCGTTTGACCGACTCTCACACACAGCTGCCCATCATCATTGTCTAGAGATGTGTAGAGGCACGTGATTCAGTTTCCCTTGCCTTACGTAGTGTAGCCATCGCCATTACGTAGTTTTCTTCATATAGAAATATTTTTTTCCTTTATTCTATATATTTATTTATATATAGAATGCTGAATAACTTTCCGATGATCTGTACTAAGAGAGAGTGCTTTCTGTCAGTCCATAAAAAAATTGATTTGAGGTCATCGACAAAAAAGATTTATTTTGTTGTTTAATTTTCCGCAATTCCAGGGAAAGAAACAAAATGGCATCGATTTTAGTTGGTCAAGTGCAATGGTTGTACGTAAACAAAAAAAAAAATCCCCAATACGTATTGAGGTACTTAAATGAAATTCAATATTTTTGTCAAGGAGGTGGAGGAGGTGTGCCACTTTTGTTAATGGAAGGAAAAAATATAAATTATTATTAAAAATAAATACAAAAATTGGTATGACCACAACATTTTTTTCTGAGAAGTGTAGATATTTTTTTTTATTTAAGAGACCTTTGGTCTCTATACAGGCCAATTGGCCTCTATAAAGACCTGCGGTCTCCATACAGGCCAATTGGCCTCTATAAAGACCTGCGGTCTCCATACAGGCCAATTGGCCTCTATAAAGACCTTTGGTCTCTATACAGGCCAATTGGCCTATATAAAGACCTTTGGTCTCTATACAGGCCAATTGGCATCTATAAAGACCTTTGGTCTCTATACAGGCCAATTGGCCTCTATAAAGACCTTTGGTCTCTATACAGGCCAATTGGCCTCTATAAAGACCTTTGGTCTCTATACAGGCCAATTGGCCACTAAAAAGACCTTTGGTCTCTATACAGGCCAATTGGCCTCTATAAAGACCTTTGGTCTCTATACAGGCCAATTGGCCTCTAAAAAGACCTTTGGTCTCTAGACAGGCCAATTGGACTCTATAATGACCTATGGTCTCTATACAGGCCAATTGACCTCTATAATGTCCTCTACGTCTTAAAATAAGAGTTTTTCTAAATTCCCTGATAGCCTACTTACATTTTTTTCTCCAGCTTTTTCAATGTTTATTTTTATTTTTTCCAAATATCTAACCTCTCTTCTTCTGTTCATTCTCCTTCCAGAGTCTGGCCGAAAAGCGCAAAGATCACAATCGTCCCGAAGTCCTCGAAGAGCTGACCGCCGATCAATTGGTGCAAGAGAAATCTACGGTGCAGCACGGTCTACTCTATTTCGAATCCCTGTACGGACGACCATCGACCAAAGATGAACGTGATGCGGCCCGTCCACTCTACGATCGTTATCGCCAATTGAAACGTATGGTTTCACGCAGTGTCACCTTGAGTGGATCCTCCGCAGCAGGAGCCCCCGAATTACCAACCATTCTAGAACATGAGGCTATGGTCTTTGAATCAACGACCCTACAATATTCATCGGCAAATAGTACCGAGACAACAAATTCACCAACCGATTCGGCGGTACCGACAAATAGTTCCGATGAATCCACGACCACCACAACAGCTCAATCTTCGCAGCAGCAGCAGAAGGAACAACAAAATGAAACGATTAGTTGTTTAAGTATTGAAAAATTATGGGAACAATTGGAAAAGACCAGAGAGGAGAAGAAACAACTGAAACGGGTCATTAGGGAATTTGAGACGGTGTTCGAAGAGCAGAATGGTCGGAAGATGTTGAAAAGTGATCGTAAAACGATTGAGGAGACCTATGCTCAGTATAAGGAGAAGAAGGCCAAGACCCGTCTTCTGCAGGCCTTAATTAAAAAGCAAATATCGCGTTGAACGCAAAACAAAACAAAAAAACACACACATACATACCTACTTACATATATTGTGAATGAAAGGAAAAAGAGAAAGCGGACAGTTTTAAGAGAGTAGAATGGAAAAGAAAGAGACAGACGCACACACACTCGTATGGCCACATGAAATCAATCCTGCCAAGAGGCTTATTTGAAAATGGTTGGGGACTGATTGTGACTAACAGTGTGTGTGGGCTTTATGTATAACAGCTTTGGGTGGGCAGTGAAAGCCCACTCCCTAACGAAAGGTTATGGCCACAAATGTAAAGGCTTTCCCTTTTTAGTTTGGTTAAAAACCTTTCCCTTGAAAATACAAAAGCAGATGTGTGCGGCAACATTAGCGAACGAAAGCTCTTTTGTGTAAAGCTTTTTTGGTTGATTGTTGTTCAGACACACACACACACCATAGAGTATACAACATTGTTATACGTTACGTAGAGTTTAAGCTCTCTCTCTGTTTTGTTTCACAAACAAAATTCCACAGTTTGAAAAGCCTTGGAAATTTAAAATGAAATGAAAACAGAAAGAAAGAAAGAAGTTTGGTTCTAAACCCCAAGACAATTGTTTTTTTATAAAAAAATGTCCGCCAGAGGACGCCTCTGGTGCGCATTTATGTTTCTTGAAGTTTTTGAAAAAAATAAATATATATTTTTTGTTTTGTTACAAGGATAAAGTCTTCTTTTTTGTAATTTTTTATTTTTTGTCTTTAAATCTCTGGAAAGGAAGAGTTGTAAAGGTGTTAAGTTTTTTGTTTGTTTTCTTCTTGCTCTCAAAAAGAAAAATTTTGTAAAATTTAAAAATTAAATCTTGTTTTGAGAGGGTAGAATTTTTGTTGACACCTCTGCTTCCATAAAACGTGTATTACATACTAAGATTATTATGTATTCTCTAAGAATGGTATATATATTTATAAAAAAAAGTTATAAAAAGAAAATAAAAATTATGAAAAATATTTTGAAAAAATATATTATTAAAAAATCATAAAATAAAATATTATTTAATAAAATAAAACAAACATTGTTATTTTTCCTTTATATATTTGTTTATAATTTATTTCCACAAACAATTTATGTTTTACAATATATATATATATATATATATATATAATAAATGATAATAAAAATATTAATATTAAAAGATTTGTTAATATTAGTTGATAATATCAATAAAAATAATCTCTTAATATTATTATATAATAATAATATTATTTAAACTGAAAAATAATAATAATAGTAATATTTATTAAATTAAATAATATTAGTATTATAACTTTTCATAATATAATTTAATTAATATTACTACTATTGACTAATATTAATAAAAGTATAATTAATAATATTATTCACTAATATTAACATTTTTTTTTATATTTTTATTTTTATTAATATTATTATTGATAGTTTTATTGAAATTGTGTTTGTTTTTTTTTTCATACTGATCATCATATATATAATATTATTAACATATTTATATTCATTAATTAATAATGCCATATATGTCTAACATATATTTTTGTTTATTATTTTTTTATATACACATATTTTTTATTACATTTGTTAAAATATCTGAAAAAATCAATTTATATATATACACACATACATATATATTTAAAACAATTATTCATGATTTATATATTGTATAGAGAAGAAGAAGAAAAACATCATCTTTGAAAAAAATGAAGCAGTAACTATAGCAGCAAAAGAAAAATATTGAAAGCAAATAAGAAACAAAAAAATATTATAAATATATATTATAAATAAAATACAAAAAAAACATATATGAAAAAATCTACAATAAAAAAAAACAAATAAATATTTGATATACTTATCTAAATAGAAAACAAAAAACAACACAATACTTTTTTATAATTTTTTTAACATCAAGAGGTCCGAATACTGTGCGGGTTTTTTAAATTTTTTTCGGAATGTTTTTTAAATTTTTTTCGGAAGGTTTTTTTTTTTAACGAAGTTGTCTCCATTCTAAAGGGTTTGAATAATTTTCCATTGATATGGGGGGTTAATTTTAAGATAAGATCTTCTATGTAGGTCTGAGATATATGAAACCAGAGAGGAAAGTTCAAAAGCCGGACGGGGGCGTCAAGAGAGATCTACAATATCCTGTAGATAGAACAGACATAGTATCTTTTTAGGACCATTGAGTTGGAATCGGGCGAAATTTCGCTCAATCGGACAAATATTGAAAGTTTGGTGTATCATTCACAAAAAATCGGACGAAACTATATATGGACGCTATATTGAAATCTGAACCGATTTTAACAAAACTTCGCATACATAAGTATGGACCTAATTCAGTACTCGGACAAATATTGGGAGTTTGGTGCATCATTCACAAATAATCGGACGATACTATATATGGGAGCTATATCTAAATCTGCGACCTGTACTTTGTTCACCAAAATACATGGACGGACATGCGTAAATCGCCTAAGAAAGTGATTCTATGCATATTCTCAAAAGGAACCATTGGTCTATCTTGATTCCTTTTGCTTGTTACAAACATATGCACAAAGACATAATACCCCGTACCACAGTGTGGTGAAGGGTATACAAATTTAACCTCAGTGACAGAGATATTTATTTTCCATAGAGAAACAAATTCTACGTTTTGTATAGAAAAATTGGTTGGCTGTCGTTTTTTTTCTTTCAATAAGAAAAAAATTGACCTCGATGATAGAAATTTTGTAATAGAAAACAAATTTCACCTCAGTGACTGATATATTTATTTTCCATAGAAAAAAATTATTCAATTGGGAAAAGTCTCATCGAATGACAGATCTATTTTTTTTTTGTATGGAAAATCTACCCTCTACAATTTTCGATATGAAAAATCCTAGAACTTAAAATTTATTTGAAATCAATTTCGTAACATGTTCTTCATACAGGCTGCTTAAGGTAAGGCAATATATCTAAACCGATTTGGGCCTGAAGTAAATCCCTTTCAATATTCCGCAATACATTGAAAAATTAAATATTGAAATAATACTCATGAGTATATTTTTTTTAAATATAAACATAACAATAACATCAAAATGTCATATTTTTCATATATAGATATATACAATTTATATGTGTATGTTTTATTTAATAACAAAAACTATATATTTGAATATATATAAAATTCAAGCATATAAATCTATATAGTAAGTGAACAATTTGACTGATGTTAATGTTTAATAAAAAAAAAACAATATAAAAAAGATTGAAAATAACAAAACAGAAGAAGAATATAAAACCTAGAAACAAAAAGCAAGAAAAAAATTAAATAAAAAGAAAAATAAAACATAAATAAAAAATAAAAAAATAATATTAATGAAAAATAATTGTTTATCTATTTGTCACGAAAAAAATAAAAAATAAAAATATTTATAAATATATTTATGAATGTTATATTTTTTCACAAACAAGAGAATTAATAAATAAATGCATTAAAAACATAATGGAAAACTAGAAAATTTTTGAAGATAATGGCGATAGACGTGCTAGTAGGAGATACAAATTTTAAAAATAATATTAAAAAGTAAAAAATAAATATTGAAAAACACAGTTTATCTAAAACGCCCCCATAACAATAACAAGTTAACTGATAATATTTTCATTGAATTTCGAAATTATGAAAATATTATCGCAAAAAATAGTAAACATTTTTAAGGAAATCTATAAAAGACTTTAATTCCCTAAGACAGAAAATAAAAAAAACCAAAATAAAAATGAAAAACAAAAGATTTATAAAAATAAAGACCTTAAAGCAAAATATTTGCATTTTTTCCAAAAAATTAAAATAAAAAAATAAATTAAAAAAAAAAACAATAAATAAAAATCTAAAAATATATTTAGTAAAAAAACACAATAAAAAACATGATTATTACAATTATTATAAAATAAATATATAATGCTGTTTTTTTGAAAATATTACAGACGAAGAGAACGGAATAATATTTTATTTAATTACTCTACCCCAAAAAATAATCAAAATAGCAAAAAAATCCAATAAAAAAATATACTAGAATTATGTCAACAAATTTATAAATGTATGGAAAAATAAAAACAAATAATAGAGCAAAGGCAAAAGACTTTGGCATTTTCAAAATAAAAACAAAATTAAATATCAATGTTTCCAAAATTTTCTGTCGAAGTTAATTATTTTAAGGGGCTGAAAAAGGGATTGGTAAGTATGGGAAATAATGGAAAACAATGAGGACCTACAAAAATTATTTAAAAAATCTACTCCTTACTGGACCCTTTAAAAATGTATTAAAAAATCTACGCCTTTACAAAAAATATTTAAAACCAGTAAGCAAAGCAGTTTGGTGCACCATTTAGGTAAAATCGCACAAATATATATGTATATGTGGGAGCTATATCGAAATCTGAACAGATTTTTCCGATACTTAGCACACATCATTCTAGACTCAATTCAGTACGCTATGCCAAATTTCGTGCAAATCGAAAGTTATATACGGACTTTTCGTGCAAATCGAAGGATATAAAGGGACATTAGTGCACTATTTACCTAAAATCGGACGAAAAAATGCATGAGAGCTATATCTAAATCTCAACCGATTTTCTAGAATCTTAACACACATCGTTCTAGACTTAATTCAGTACGCTATGCAACATTTCGTGCAAATCGAAGCATAAATAGGGACTTTGGTACATAATTTACCTAAAATCGGACGAAAACATATATGGGAGCTATATCTAAATCTGAACCGATTTTCACGAAACTTAACACAATTCATTCTATACGTAATTCAATACCCCATGCAAAATTTCGTGTAATTCGAAAGTCATATAGGGACTTTGGTGCACCATTTACATAAAATCAGACGAAAATATATATGGGAGCTATTCTAAATCTGAACCGATTTTCACGAAACTTAACACACATCATTCTAAACCTTATTCAGTACCCTATGCCAAATTTCGTGCAAATCTAATGATATATGGGGACTTTGGTGCCCCATTTTCCTTAAATCGGACGAAAATATATACGGGAGCTATATCTAAATCTGACCCGATTTTCACGAAACTTAACACACCTCATTCTAGACCCAATTCAGTACGCTGTGCCAAATATCGTGCAAATCGAATGATTTTCAGGGGCTTTGGTGCACCATTTACCTAAAATCGGGCGAAACTATATATGGGAGGTATATCGAAATATGAACCGATTTTCGAGAAACTTAGCACACGTCATTCTAGACTTAATTCAGTACGCTATACCAAAATTCGTGCAAATCGAATGATTTTCCGGGACTTTGGTGTACCATTTACCTAAAATCGGGGAAAACTATATATGGGAGGTATATCGAAATATGAAACGATTTTCTCGAAACTTAGCAGACATCAGCCTAAACTTAATTTAGTACGCTATGACAAATTTCGTGCAAATCGAATGATTTTCAGAGACTTTGGTGCACCATTTACCTAAAATCGGACAAAACTCTAAATGGGAGCTATATCGTGTGAATCGAAAGATATATAGGGACTTTGGTGCACCATTTACATAAAATCGGACGAAAATATATATGGGAACTATATCTAAATCTGGACCGATTTAGCTCAATTTCAATAGGGTTCGTCCTTGGTCCGAATAAGTGACCTATGTCAAATTTCATCCAATTCGAACTATAAATACGACCTGTACTTTGTTTACAATTTAACATGGACAGACTGACGGACATGCATAAATCGACTCAGAAAGTTATTCTATGCATATTCTCAAAAGGAACCATGGGTCTATCTCGATTCCTTTTGCCTGTTACAAACATGTGCACGAAGACATAATACCCTGTACCACAGTGTGGTGAAGGGTATAAAAAATCATCGGCTTATTGAGGCACTGCAAAAATATATACGCCTTATTGGATCCCTTTAAAAAAATCTACGATTTTTTGGGTCCCTTTAAAAATCCCTTTATTCTTTAAAAAAAAATTCCGCTTTTTTTGGCTCCCTTTAAAAAAATTATTTCAAAAATCTACGCTTTATCGAATCGTTCGAAAAATATTTTTTACAAAATCTACGTCTTATTGGTCAACATAAAATGTGCCATCCCTGATTAGTACGTTTTCTATTAGCTATTTGCCATCTCTGATAGTTAAGTTGTTGACAACGCAATTAGTACGTGTCTTCACAAATCAGTTCGAATAGTAATGAACATATGTGAAATAGCGAACCTTATCATCACCATCGTATAATCTCTGGGATTAATGCGATCAGTGTGAATTTCATCATTGTCCGGTACGTACACACATTCTTGCAAACAGTTCTGGAATATTCAATTTTTATTTACTTTTTTGTCGTTTCTTTTTTCAGCTATTTTATAGTTTAAACATGTCCCCCAAACCCGAATTGTATTATACCCCCGGCAGTCCACCATGCAGTTCCGTTATGTTGTGTGCCGCAGCTTTAGGTCTTGAGCTGGAACTGAAGTAAGTTAAAGAGTGGCGATAAATTTAATTTAATTTTCTATAATTTTGTTTTTCTATTTCAAGAGCTGTGAATCTCAAAGATGGTGACCACTTGACACCGGAATTTCTGAAAATGAATCCCACTCACACCATTCCCGTGCTAAACGACGATGGTGTTGTGGTTACGGATTCCCATGTCATCTGTTCTTATCTGGCTGATAAATATGCCGTCGATGATTTGTTGTATCCCAAAGATAAGATCCAGCGCATGCAGGTCGATTCGAGATTATTTTTCGATTGCGGGCATCTGTTTCCAAGGGTTAGGATTATGGTGGAACCGGTTATTTATTTTGGTGAGGCCACAATTTCAGAGGAAAAAATCCGTTATATGCAACGGGCCTATGATGGTTTGGAAAAGGCATTGGCCAATGGCGACTATTTGTGCGGAGAACATTTGACAATTGCCGATTTGTGTTGTGTGGCCTCTGTGGCTTCGGCTGAGAAGTTTGCCCCCATTGACGGGGATAAATATCCCAAGGTGAAGGCATGGCTACAACGTCTGTCGGAGCTGCCATACTACAAGAAATACAATCAAGAACAGGCAGATATTCTGTACAATTTGGTGCAAAGTAAATTCGAAGAAAATAAAAAGGAATAATGGGAAGAACTAATTTAAGAAAAAATATTCAATAATAAAATTATTGTAAATAGAGAGTAAAGAATTACATTTTTAATAGTATTTTTAGGAGATTTTTAAGGAATGTTTTTCCAAGGTTCAATAAGTAGTATTTCTTTAAGGAATATTTTTTCTGAGGACCCAAAAAGTTGCAATTTTTTTAAAGAATATTTTTTAAGGTCCCATTGAGGCCTGGATTTAAAAAAAAAAAAAAATATTCTTCTAAGAAGCCAGTAAGGTGAAAATTTCTTAATGATTACTTTTCTAAGAACCCCATAATGTCTAGATTTTTTAAAGAATATTTTTCTAAGGATACAATAAAGTGCAGATTTTTTGAAGCATATTTTTAAGGACCCAATAAGGCGAAGATTATATATATTTCTAAGGACCAAAGAAGGCGCAGATTTTTATAGATTTTCTAGATTAGATTTTTTAAAGAAAGCAGCCAATAAGGCATAGATTTTTGAAAGAATGCAGCCAATAAGGCGTAAATTTTTTAAAGAAAGGACCCAATAAGGCGTCGATTTTTAAAAAAAGGACCCAATAAGGCGTAGATTTTTTAAGGAAAGGACCCAATAAGGCGTAGATTTTTTAAAGAAGGGACCCAATAAGGCGTAGATTTTTTAAAGAAAGGACCCAATAAGGCGTAGATTTTTTTAAAAGAATATAAGGGCTTAGGTTCTTATACCCTACACAACTAAGTTGTCAAGGTATTATAGCTTTGTTTGTAACGCCGCGAAATATTGGTCCTAGACCCACCTTTAAGTATACCGATCGTCATATTTTGACTAGCTGAGTCGATCTAAACAGGCGAAGATTTTTTTAAGAAAGGTCTCAATATGACGTAGATTTTTTAAAGAAAGGACCCAATAAGGCGTCGATTTAAAAAAAAAAGACCCAATAAGGCGTAGTTTTTTAAAAAAAGGACCCAATAAGGCGTAAATTTTTTAAAGAAAGGACCCAATAAGGCGTAGATTTTTTAAAGAAAGGACCCAATAAGGCGTCGATTTTTTAAAGAAAGGACCCAATAAAGCGTAGATTTTTTAAAGAAAGGACCCAATAAGGCGTAGATTTTTTTAAAAGAATATAAGGGCTTAGGTTCTTATACCCTACACAACTAAGTTGTCAAGGTATTATAGCTTTGTGCAGCCCCATGAGTTTGTAACGCCGCGAAATATTGGTCCTAGACCCACCTTTAAGTATACCGATCGTCATATTTTGACTAGCTGAGTCGATCTAGACATGTATGTCCGTCCGTTCGTCTGTCCATTATAATTTGTAAACACGATGCAGGCCACAGTTATGGACTAATCTTCACGAAATTTTGCATGTAGAATGGGTTCTAGCCAATGAAGACCCCTATTGTTTTTGGTTAATATTTAGGGGATGAAGTGGACTAAATACTTAATTTTTGGCTCAACCATAATTATGGTCCGAACCTCGCGAAATTTTACATGGAGAAGGGGATCGAGTCAAAAAAATAAGCATGTCTGCTTTGATAAAAATCGATCATTATTTAGCGGGTCAAATGGACTCTGACTTTGTGTGAAAAATTACAAAATTTTAATTCTATGGCGTATATATTTACCGGTGGAGCACATAGACCCGATAAGTTGTTAATATATACAAGATGAGTGGTTGACCTTTAAATTGACACCAATTTTATTGTCGTATGTTCTCGGATGTGGGAGTTACACTTAAATATTTATAGGAGCTTACGTATTTAGATGTTATTTAGTAACCCATTACCACACTAGAGGTCGGAAATATAGCGCTGATCGCTTTGAAATTTTCCATGAAGTTCTAATTATGGTCAAGGACAACGCCTATAATTTTCGGTGATGATCAGAATAAAATTTTGGGATCATGTGGACCGAAAACTTAATTTCTTTGTGTGTTTTCTAGTCGAATATAAGCCGAACATCACAACTCAACCCACCGTGAAGGGTATCTGGACAAGTAAGTAGAAGGGCTGTACTGAATATTTGTAATATTCCGAACATGTAAGAAAGATGTGCTGTTGACCTCTAATCGGGCAAGTCGGTGCAAATATTACGAAATATTTCCTAGGCTCGGAATAAACATCCGAGTTCCCTGGTAGTTGTGTAGGCTATCGTATGGTCGGCCCCGTCCGACTATACTGCTCCGCTCACTGGTTTAAAGAATATTTTTGTAGAGACCTATAAGGCTTAGATTTTTTAAAGACTATTTTTTAACGCGTGGATTTTCTAGAGAATGCTTTTTTAACGCTTAGATTTTTTAAATAAAGGACCCAATAAGGCGTAGATTTTTTAAAGAAAGGACCCAATAAGGCTTAGATTTTTTAAAGAAAGGACCCAATAAGGCTTAGATTTTTTAAAGAAACGACCGAAAGGACTGTCCGTCTGTCCATGTTACATTGTAAACAAAGTACAGGTCGCATTTATGATCCGATTTGGATGAAATTTGGCATAGGTCACTTATTGAAATTGGCTTCAGATTGTTATAGCTCCCAATATATATTTTTTCCAAAGTACCTATATATCTTTCGTAGATTTTTATGAATTATACAATTTGTGTGTTAAGGACGACTTAAAATCTAGATTTTGTTAAGAATGGTTTTGTTGATTTCCAATAAATTGCAGTTAAAAAATAAAAATTATGGAACAATTTTTTTTAAATTATTTTTTTCGTAAATTTTTAAACCACATTAATTTCCTGGACATAGCTTATTTGAACAACCGATTTACATATTCCATCATCATCATACGGTAATGTGGTTTCAAATACATCCCTCTACAAATTCCACATTGGGGATAAAAGTGAACAACTGTAATACATAATTAAATTGTGGTTGCTATGCAACTCACGATATTCTCGAGCCATGCATGCGACCAGATGTAGCTCCAGTTGGAACAAGCCGTTACTGTCAGCGGTTGTATATCTGCTGCTGATGTTGCCATTGTTGTTGTTGGTGTTGACTATGGTGGCTGTCGGATAAATTAAATTAATTTTTTTTTTAGAAAAAAAAAATAAGTTTCGCACATCTAATATGAAATGATATCCTCGAACCGACACATGTTGCAATCAACACCTTCATTGTGTGTGTGTGTGTGAATGTATGTCGGTGTGTAAGTTTCTCCTTTGGTGGCCATTGAAAAGTGAATGAAAAACTAGAATTTCAATAGGTTTCTGGTTCTGATTTTTTTTCTGCATATCCCCAAGCCTTGTGTATGCATCATATCAGTGACACATATATAAAATAACAGACATAGAGATATGTGTGTGTGTGTATTTGTGTAGGAAAACATTTTAAACGTATGATATAACCAACAAGCCAAGCAACCAACAGCTATGGTGGTAACTTCGTAAGCATATCATTTTAAAAATATGAAATATATATAGTAAGGATGTGTGTGTTTTATTTTTTAAACGGGAAAATCACTGGAACAGTGGTTCGGAGAGGAGTTTTTCAAAAGACAAGATTACAGTAAAAAAAATCACTTCGAGAGCTCTAAATGTTATTATCCTCAGAAAACAATTTTCTCCAGTTACAAAATGAACACTCCATACCCCTGTGCAACCCACAAGAATAAACACCCTTACCCACCTAACAACTCCCGGCTCCAACAATTCGAAAGATGAAATGCAAAAGACCCAAGTAGCAGCAGTGGAGCACTCTGCTTACGACTGGTAGCTGGATAATTAAAATGCAAAACAAAACCCTTAAACACTTGATGTAAATGCGAATGTGTGATGGTGGTGGTAGTGGTACAACATAACGTTCAGTGCCCATGTGTGTGTATGTGAAAAAGTTAAACGTGACAAGGATACCAGCCTGCAACAACTGAACCACAACCCCATGTGTGATATCGTATTCTGATGGAGGGGGCATTTGCATGCTTGGCTACATTACTCGGACGGTAATCTATGGGTTGGGAGAGCGGACAAGAATTTTAAAAGCTTTGTATGTACATGTGTGTACGTGGGCGTGTTTACATTGCAAGGTAAAATGAACAACAGCTAGTACGAACCACAGACATAGGAGGGATATAAAAAAAATTAAACAACGAAAATAAACTATAATCGACAGAGGCGAACCTAAGTGACATTACAGCTAACTCTTAGAAGCCGAAAGTGACGTACTATATATTTCGATATTGGTTATTAATTATTTTTTTCCGACACCCAAATAAAATGTTCACAATTTTGGAAAATCGAAATTTTTATACCCTACACAACTATGTTGTCAGGGTAGTATAGCTTTGTGCAGCCCCAAGAGTTTGTAACGCCGCGAAACATTGGTCCTAGACCCACCTTTAAGTATACCGATCGTCATATCTCGACTAGCTGAGACGATCTAGACATGGGTGTCCGTCCGTCCGTCTGTCCATTATAATTTGTAAACACGATATAGGCCGCAGTTATGGACCAATCTTCACGAAATTTTGCATGTAGGATGGGTTCTGGCCAATGAAGACCCCTATTGTTTTTGATAAAGATCGGTTAAGATTTAGGGGATGAAATGGACCAAAAACTTTATTTTTGTCCAATTTTCTGGTCGCTCCAGAGGCCGTAATTATGGCCCGAACTTCGCGATTTTTCACATGGAATAAGCATGCCTGTTTTTATAAAGATCGGCCAATATTTAGCGGGTCAAGTGGACCCTGATTTTTTGTGAAAAATTACAAAATTTGTATTCTACGGTGTATATATTTACTCCTGAAGGATATAGACCCGAGAGGTTGATATTATATCCAAGAGGAGTGGTTGACCTTTAAATTGATACCAATCATATTGTCGTAGGTACTCGGATGCGGGAGTTACACTTAAATATTTACAGGTGTTTACGTATTCATATATTATTTAGTAACCTATTGCCACACTTTAGGGCGGATATATCGCCTGATCGCTTTGAAATGTTCCATGAGGTTCCAGTTATGGTCAAGGACAACGCCTAAAATGTTAGGTGATGATCAGATAATAATTGTTCGAATGAAGTG